GGGGAAGGGGGGGGGGCGGTTGGGGGGTTTTGGGGATCACCAGCTGAGCCGCCATGCCACGCAGCATGGCCCAGAAGTACTATGAGTACGTCAACTACAAGGAGGAGCACGTGCAGGAGCAGCAGCGGGCACCACGGGGTGCCTGCAACGCCTACATCATCATCTTCCAGACTGTCTTCTACACCTGCTTCCATGTGAGCGCCAGTGGGGAGCATGGCACAGGCCGGGGGGGGCCCGCGCCAAGCAGCCCAGAGGGCTGAGCATCCCCCCTCTATACGTCTTCCAGTTGAGCTTTGTCTGCGCTCAGATGCCGATGCTCTTCTTCCTCAATAACTACCTCTACCAGCTCAACCACACACTCTTCGGGGTCAAGCACTGTGGTGAGCATGCGGGATGGCACGGTGGTCAGTGTGGCAAGCTTGCCAGTTGGGGCTGAACCACAGCATGTTTCCCCTCCTCGCCCCGGCAGGGACCCTGAGCCACGGCACGCTGCCCGGCTTCAACACAACAGTGCTGCAGAGCCTGCCCCGCAGCGTCAACCTCATCATTGTGGAGAGCGCCTTGATGGCAGCTGCCTTCCTTGCCATGCTGGTGGTGAGTGCTGGGGCAGGCAGGGCAGGGGACTGGCTGGGAGGCCGTTGGTGCCTCACCCACGGCTGCGCGGCAGGTCCTGGTGCTCTGCGGCTCGGCGTATCGGCCCACGGAGGAGATCGACCTGCGCAGCATCGGCTGGGGGAACATTTTCCAGCTGCCTTTCAAGCACATGCGGGATTATCGCCTGCGCCACCTCTTCCCCTTGTTCATCTACAGCGGCTTCGAGGTGCTCTTTGTCTGCACTGGCTTCTCCCTGGTAGGGCCCGGGGACAGGGTGGGGGGCGACAGAGCAGGGACAGAGCGACGCTGAGCCTGTCCTCACTGCAGAACTACGGTGTGTGTGCCCTGGGGCTGGAGAAGCTGGCGTACCTCCTTATGGCCTATGGCTTCTCCGCCTCGGCCTGCTCCAGCCTGGCCCTCTGCATGCTGCGCCTGCGGCGGCAGATCCCACTACTGGCCGGAGCCCTCCTCCACGCCGCCCTCCTGGTGACTCTTTTCTGCTGGGCACCCGAGCCCCGGCATCTGGTCCAGGCGCCTCTACTCTACGCCATCATCGTGCTCTGGGGCACGGGGAGCGCCCTCAACAAGACCAGCATTAGCAGTGAGTACTGGGAAGGTCCCTGACATAGCCTCTCTTGTCCCCTGGCATGGCCAGGTTGGCTCACAGCTCCCTGACGCATCTTCTCACGTCCCCTTGCACCGCAACTTGGAGCCCCCCAAGCTCCTTGGACCCACTGACAAGGAGCAGGACAGAACCCCTGTGGTTGCATCCTGCTAACAGTGCCCCAAGAGGGGACACGGACACGGGAAGGGGGATGCTGACAACCGGTCTCCTCCGGCACAGTCCTCCTGGGCATGCTGTATGAAGACAAGGAGCGCCAGGACTTCATCTTCACCATCTACCACTGGTGGCAGGCCGTGGCGATCTTCACCGTCTACCTGTGGTCGGGGCTGCCCATGAAGGTAAGTGGGTGAATGGCCGTCCCCGCCATGTCGGCCCAACCGGTTCTATCACCTCCGGGGGCTGCCAGGCTCAGGGTAGGGGTTGAAGTGCCAATCCCCCGTTTTCCCCTCCTGCAGGCCAAGCTCTCTATCATGCTGCTGACACTGGCAGTGGCAGTGGGGACCTACCTCTGGATGGAGCACAAGCTGGCGCAGCACGTGACATACCGCCTGCCCCGCATCCCCCGCCCGCGCCACAAGATGCGCGGTTACCGCTACTTGGAGGAGGATGACTCAGACGAGACCGGCTCAGAGGGCGACGGCGGCAAAGACGACAGTGATGACCACCCAGCGGAGGCCACCAATGAGGATGAGCAGCCAAAAGATGATGAGGACCAGCTGGGTTAGACATCTTGTCCTGCCCCTCTGCCGTGGTGCCCCCCCCACTACTTTCTGAATCTGAGGAAGGGGTGCACAGCACCTCCCTGGGGCTGCCCAAACCCCCTGAAACAGGCCCAGACTTCCACAGGCCCTGCTCAGGCTAGGCCTACCGCCTCCTCAGCCAGGCCTGCAGAGTCCCCAGCCAGACCTACAGAGCCTCAGACCAAGCCTGCAGTCCCCGAGCAAGCCTGCAGACCCCTTAGCCAAGGCTGCAACCCCTCAGGCCAGGCCCGCAGAGCTCCTAGCCAGGTCCCCAAAGCCTTCAGCCAGGCCCACAAACCCTCAGACCAAGCCTGCAGCCTCTCAGAACCCCCAGCAAAGCCTGCAGCTCCCCCAGCCAAGCCCACAGGGCCTCAGACCAAGCCTGCAGACCCCCTAGCCAAGGCCACAGGATCTCCAGCCAGCTCCGCAAAGCCCCCAGCCAGGCCCACAGACCCTCAGATCAAGCCTACAGAACCTCAGAACACCCAGCCATGCCCACAGAGCCCCCAGCCAAGACTGCAGAACCTCAGACCAAGCCTGTAGACGCCCCCCAACCAAGCCCACAGAACCTCTAGCCAGGTCTGCAGAGCCCTCAGCCTTGCCTACAGACCCTCAGACCAAGCCTGCAGGCCCACAGCCCCCTGACACCCCCTGAGTTACCACATGCAAGCAGCTCACACACCCCCCCTTTGCTCCCCTCGGACTCAATAAAAGCTCTCCTGCCGCCGCCCCCTGCTGCTCTCACAGCCGCCTTATTCCGCCTTCGCGTCGTCGCAGCCTCACCGCCCTCCATGAGGGGAGAGAAGCATCAGCGCCTCCCTCGGGCGGGAACTACAGTTCCCGGCGCGGGGAACATGGCCGCCCCGCTTCCCTCCGCGGACTCCCACACCCACAATCCCCCGCGCCCCACGGGTGGGAGGGTGGCGGTCACGTGTGCCACCGGCAGCGCATGCGCGCTGCGGGCTGTTGTTGTGGCGGCGCGGCCAGCGGCTCACCCGGCCGGTAGCGAT